GAAGGCCATTAGATGATCTAATGATAATGAAGGAAACACTTCGAGTTAAAGATGAAGAACTTCAACAATTAGCCAAAGAATTACGTGCAAGAGATTCAACCATACGTGAGTTAGCAGACAAGTTCACTGAGACAGCTCAAGCTGCTGAAGTAGCTGCATCTGCAGCTCTTGCTATGGATAAAGAGAGGAGACTTGCTTCCATAGAAATTGAACAACTGACCAATGATTCAAATAAGAAACTTCAAGAAATCATTTTTAAGTTAAAAGAATCTGAAGAAAAGGTTGCAACATTTAGCAGAGATAGAGAGATCCTGTTCAAGAAGAGAGACTCTGCTCTTCAAGAGGCATATTTTTGGCGTTCTAAGCTCGTAAAAGCTAGAGAACATGATGTTTTATTAGAAGCGATTGTAGTTCAAGTTGAAGAAAGGACCAGGGTTTCACAGGTAGATGCAGAAGCTAGGTTAAAAGATGTCGCTGAAAAAACATTGTTCGCTGCAAAAGAAAAAGAAGATCTGTTAACATTTGTGACTGCTTTGCATTCTCAAGTTCAAGGGCAACAAAGTTTTACAAAACAAGTGCTGGAAGAGAAACCCGAGTCAACCTCAGGCTTCATCAAAACGGTGCCAATGACGAAACATGCAGACTTGGAAGACGATGTCGATAAAGCTTGCTTAAGTGATTCAAAACTCATTCGGGTTTCTGGTGACAACATGCAATTGACTAGCAATGGTGTCGATATTCGTACCATTGTCATTCCTCATAACCCTGTGTTTCATGGGAACACTAAGCATTTCAACATCAAGTTATTTTTTCTAAGAGAAGTGCAGAAAGAAGAATTTGTGATTCTGGTTTACTGCAAATCTGAAGATCAGTTGGCAGATTTGCTTACAAAGTCACTTCCTATCAGCAAGTTTAAGAATCTAAGGCAGAAACTTGGTGTTCGCAGATCCTAAAGCAAGGATGAGTGTTGGAATACATGCTTAGGACTGCTTATTGAGTGTAGGTTTATTTGAATTTAGTTTGTTCCTTAATCTTAGGAGTTAGTTGCTATTTTTTCTTGATATTTGTTTCTTATTACTTTCTTGACTGATTTTTAGGTCATTTCTTGGAAGTTTGTTATTAGCTCCAAGTTTAAAATATTATAAAGCTACACAAAAGGTATGGTTCTGATTTCCCTTCAATCTACAACAAAAAATTTTAGTTTTTTTCATCTTTCTCATTTCAAGAAACCAATATATTCGCCCCATAAAAAAACTAGATTAATTTTTTTGATTAGACCAAGTATTAATCTAATATTTGGTTTTGATTTTTATTCAATAAATGCAAGTTTAAGCTATTACTTGAAACTAAAAATGAATAAGCGACTATTTTTCTTCGTTTTCATGTTTTTATAGAAACTTATTTGAATTAGTGAATTGCTTAGGTTTAAAATTATGCAAAATATCACAAATTGTGCTGACTATGGAGGACTACGCACTTTTTATAATCTATTGAGATATTAATAAACATTAGAGTTTCATATTATAATTTAGTTTTCTAAATCCCGCAAAAACTCTCAAGATTTCACATTCCGCAAAGCATTGCCCTTTCCTAGTAGCACTATATTTATTCTACGAAAGAAATCTGTTTTAACCTAATCATTCTACTAGTTTTCTTCTGAAATCTCTAGATCACAATGAGTTTTAACTTGGATTAACTCAAGACATAAACAAAACATTAATTCAAAGAAGATAAACTTAGTTCAAATTATTTTTGCTTACATGAACAAGTGTTTACAAAACCCAAAGTAAAAATACAAGAGAAGAAAGTAAGAAAACACGCCGAAGAAAATTTTCAAAAGATCGTTACTCCTGGGTACCATGCTCTTGAGTTTCTCGATCTGGTGCCATGCACTGAGGCGTTGAAGGACCGGCATTGAGGCGCCAAACTCGTGTTTTTGGCCTCATTTTCCAGCTCCTGGCGCTTAGGTGCTATCTTCATAACGCCGCAACGATATCACTTCAGCGCCGGGGCACTGAATTCATAGCGCTGCGGCATTACATGTTCTGTTGTAGTCCTACCAAAACACAAACAAATATCGTTAAAAGCATAAATTGTACAAAAATACACTCAATTAAAGGCATTATTAACACTTAACATTATAATCAGCTACCTAATTAGATCATAAAAATGATTTGATGGACACTCTTAACTATCCGGTCCTGATCACCACATTTGTAAGTTCTCATCGATTGGAAATTTAAGCATTCCATTACTTTCTTCTCCAGCTTTATTATTTAATAGCTTATAGTCTCATTTGGCTAACCACACATTAATTATAGCTTAACTAACTATTACATCTGCTTGCGTAATTTTACTTCATTAAATTGAGCTTGACTCCATTTCATTATGGCCTCAACTTAATTAAAGCTTAATTAAGAGTCAAATTGCGTGTTTATGACGAGTGTCTAAAATCTAATGACTGCTCCATGTGCGCATGTAGACTCTTTCTAATGTACGAAGAAAATAAATTAATAAATTAATAAATTGCTATATTAGCAAAATATATAAGTTACAAAATAATTTGATGACTTAATAAACCAAACTCGAGTATTTTCCATAAAAAAAAAATCATGCGTTCGATTTAAAAAAATTAAGATATTCTAATTTAAATTGGTTAAGATTGAGTTTTACATTTATATAATTTTTTTTTCGATTAATCATACATCTTTTACATTTATTTTTTTTTTAAAATGTAATACTTTAATATAGGAGAATTTACATACAAACCCATAATTCTTATGGCTTTACAGATCTAACATTATAATTTTTATATTTATATTTATTACACTTTGGTGCATAAACTTATGCGTGAAAAATATTATTTTGCTTTTAAAAAGCAAGTAATATTTTTATTTGATCTTATAAGTAAGAATGTTGGGACTTGAAAGCCTCAAGATTCGGGTATTTAAGGGATAAAAATCCTAATAAATTACTATTTATACTCAATATTTTAGATATTTCTTTAACGAGTAAAATAGTGCTAGCGGATACTTTGTGATTTTCTTTTTTCCTTTTAAGGTTTTAGAAATGTAAATACATAAGAATTGGATGGTATGCATGTAAATATCTCTTTATTTTTCCTTGGGAGTAATTTGCACATAAATCTATTAAAAGGTGGAATCAAACTCTTGTTTGAAGGTGGGTAAATATTGCCTTAAAAATGTAATTTTGCTAAAAGAAAATTTATATTTAGGGGTAGGCAATTAACCAAAAGTGCACCTTGTAACACTTCTTAGTGTGTTTGTGGCAGTAGTATGAGGGCAGTGTTGTGTCGCACCGTGGTTTGTAGTGTTTGCCTTTTGCAAAAATATTGCGGTAAAATAGTATGTTATCTACTTTGACGAAAAAATTACGGTGGGAACATGCCTTTTGCAAACAAAGCTGGCAAAATTTCGTGACTGCGAGAAAGAAAAAAAAATTATAATAGTCACCACAATATTTTGAACAACAATTTTTTCTGCAGCAGCTTTACAAATATCTCTTTAGATAGCCGCACCTGACCCAAAAAGACCCATATACAGGCAAATATTTTGAATATAAAAGAAATAATTCATATAAATCAATAATTCATGAAAATCAATTAAAAAAAAAGGACATTGTAAACCAAATAATGAAACCTGGCCAATGATATTCAACAAATGAAATGTTATCAAATTTGCATTTAATTTATGTAGCATTACTCGCAACATAATCGACAAATGAAACTCATTCAAAATATTAAATTGAGAACTTCATCTAACAAACAACAAAACTATCACACACAATTAATCATACAAAATCATTTGGACCACACTCAAGTTAGA